AACAAATATTTCTATTTTTTCATGAGTCCATTTCTTGTTTGAGGTTTTGTTTGTTTTAATGACTATGTGAGTTATGCAATTCTTTTTAACCAATTGTCAACATATACAGTTCGGCCTGGAACTCATGTCTTCTAATTCCAAATTGCACCCCTTTTAAACTGTAACTTGTTATTTCCAAATGTCTTAAATAGAACACAATTCTAACACATGGTAATTTAAATTTGCATAACAAAACAGACATTGCTTCTTGCAAATGTGTTTTCCAAATATTCATGAATATATACTGTGTTCTATAATCAATGGTCTGCAACAACTACAACTTGAGGTTTTTCATTAACTGCAAGACTAATAACTTCTCTTGTATCAATTTATACATCAAAATAGTTCCAGTTTCAATAATTTAATATACACATGCATCTTCTATAAAGTAAAGTACCCTAGAATTCATTTTTCTTTATTAAACAAAGGTTACTTATTTCTGCAGATTATGAACTTCTTGGTATTCTTTCTGATACTATTGAACAAAGTTTGCATTAAAACTACTAATATACCAGAAATTGAAAACATTCCCTGGAGCAATCTAATCTAATTTTTGGAAGACATATTCTTTTATTTTACTCAGAAGAGTATAAATATTTGTTAATATTAATACCATGTAATGTCATTCATTTACAGTTATAGGTGACCTTTTAAAAGAAAATGTCACTGAATGTTATAAATTATTGTGCAGTGCTTTGTGTAGTATCAAGAGCTAGAAGTTTAGAATAGCCACTCAGGCCAGTCTTTTAATAATGTTCTATAGGATCAATGAATCTATGAACAGGCACCTAATCAGTCATTAGAAATGTTACTTCTTGGTCAGAATCAAAATTATCACAAGTTGGAAATTTCATGTACAAAAATTTTCTATGTTCAAACAATCAAAGTGTTAAAAATGCTAAATTATATCAGAATTCCCACATCTGGTAAGGATAGAACAGTATAATATCAGCTGCTGACTATCCTCACTCAGCTTCAGATACACCTGGAAACCACAGTTGGGTTTGGGTTTCTGCAGATTGTTTTCATGAGGGCAGTTGGCTTTGTGTCTTGTTTGGCCAATAAAGGAGTCGACAGAGAAGCAGCTGGTCTGGAGCAGGAGGACAGCACTTGACCTTTCTATTTTGCTTCCTATTTTGTTTTAGTTTCCTGTTCGATCAACCTTGTCCAGCCTTGTATCTTGACCCTAACACTAGCCTAGCATGCAGAAGCGACTGGTCAATCCATGTTGAGTCAATTTGCAATTTTTTTTTTTTTTTTTGCTTTTTGGGTTACACCAGGCATTACACAGGGTTTACTCCTGGCTCTTGGATTCAGGAATTACTCCTGGCGGTGCTGGGAATGTGAGATGCTGGGAATGGAACCCGGTCGGCCGCGTGCAAGGCAAACTCCCTACCCACTGTGCTATTGCTCCAGCCCAAAATTTGCAATTCTTATAGAAGAGTCTCTTCCCATGCTCTCAAAGACCCTTGCAATAGCCAGCGCTGGCCCCGTTTTTTTTTTTTCTGGGCTTGGAAACTATAGTAGCAGCTGTTTACATTGCCTATGCACAGTTTCTGCTCAGAAACTCCCTTTGGTACAGCAAATTTTGATAACCCTCCCTTCATCTTGCTCCCCAGCCATGGAGGGGGTAGGTAGCTGCTTCCTAAAACTCTAACTCCAACCTGTCATTGTGGTTTCTTTTTACTAGTGCAGCTTCTTGATCCTAGTTTCAAAGTATTTCTATGAAGTTTTCCTGCAAAATATAATTATGTGATTTGAGTTTCCTGAGCCCAAACTGTAGTTTAGGATTAAAGAAAACATCTGAGTCTTCTTTCTACTGCTCCAGGGACAGAAAAGAAAGCAGTAAAAATGGAATCATCTATCCATTGCGCACTGGTAGGGAAGGGCAAATGACCAGCCAGCTTATTTCTCCATCATTAGGCCATGAATGTTAGTTGGCGGATGGTATCTCAAATAGTCTTCATCACAGTGAATGGCCACTGCTTCTTGCCACCAGTAGCTAGCACTGAAGGAATAATATAAAATATTTAGCAGGCATAATGCAGATCATAATACCTATATAATTTTATTTGATTCTTGGGGAAATCTTAAAGAGTTAATTAAAGAATTAATTTTACGATCATTTCAGAGGAAAGGCATCAGGCTTTGTGGTATTGAAAAACCGTCCCTTGATTGCACCATTACTTAAGAGAAAAAATATAGCTGTAGGTATCAATGTGACTGATGAGCTAATGTGGATAAAACTATACCCACTGTACCTGTAAACTGCTACTTGGTGCTGTCTCCTCGTTCTGGTTTTCTATCATAAGATTCTCTGGTTCACAGGGGACTTCTGTCTGCATCTGTCACTTGTAGATGCTTATATCTTTCTTATCCAAAAGGAGTGACTTGAAAATAAACTAATTCAAACACAGATTGCTCACACAGAACATAGTCTATTAGCAACACTGATGTGAATTTTTTTTACACACTTGAAAGCCAAACAGATTTTATGTAAGTCAAATAAGTGATTTTTCAAACTATTCCAAGTTAACTCTGTGTGTGTGTGTGTGTGTGTGTGTGTGTGTGTGTGTAGTGAGAATTTTCTGAGTGCTTCAGGCTTTATTTGACTGATCAATACTCTACTTCTTTGGTCAGTAAGGTTACCATCTTTCATACACTTTTAAAAATTATTTTAGTGAGTTATCAATTACCCACAGTAAAATTGACTTTCTTCTGAAGAAAACTGAAAATTTATCTACTCAGATTTACAAGATTAATCACTGGAAGTTAGGATTTTATTAATCGAGACTAGAAACTTCATCTTAAGTATAAAGGTAAAGGTAAAGGCCCTCCCATTGATCGTCGATTTGCTCGAGCGGGCCCAGTAACGTCTCCATTGGAGACTTTGTTGTTACTGTGTTTGGCATATCGAATACTCTCGGTAGCTTGCCGGGCTCTCCGAGAGGGGTGGAGGAATCGAACTCGGGTCGGCCATGCTGGCCGCTTGTAAGGCAAACGCCCTACCACTGTGCTATCGCTCCAGCGTAAGTATAAATTCTTTAAATATGAAAGGAAGTTATATGATAGAAAACAACTGAGATTAGAATGGTCAACCAGTTTCATACTAGAAGACTAAAAAATAGAGTTTAAAACTTAACTCAGAAATTAGAACAGCATTATGCCTTCTAAAAATAAAAATGGTGTTATTAGAAAATGTTTTTAAAATAAGCAAAAACTGTAATTTTCAAATAATGTGAATTTTTTAATAATTTTAATATTAACTGACATTTTGATGCTGTCAGGTATTTATAACATTCGTAAGCTGTTATAATATTTAAAGCAAAATGCTACATAGAAATTATGAAAACTATTTGAGAAAATTGTCTTTAAAATTTACATTTGTTTTTAAAAAGATAACTAATGCAAAAACCATTTTTTTTTTTGCTTTTTGGGTCACACCTGACGATGCACAGGGGTTATTTCTGGCTCATACACTCGGGAATTAATCCTGGCAGTGCTTGGGGGACCATATGGGATGCTGGGAATCGAACCTGGGTTGGCTGCGTGCAAGGCAAACACCCTACCCGCTGTACTATCACTCCAGCCCTGCAACAACTTTCTTAACTCTGTAGTTTGAATATGGTGGTAATGAAGTCATCACTATATGATAGCCACAAAAACAAGGCAATTTCAATTTTCTTTAACTTAACTCTACATGGTATTGTTTTGTAAATCTACACATCTTTTGTGATATAACTGGCTTTTAAATCTAACTGGGTATCTAGATTATGATTGTGATTCTCTTTGTGAATTTAAAAAGCATTCCCTACCTCTAGGGAGGTAACAGAAACTAAGCATCCCATCGGTAGGAGACTTGATTCTCCACCCAAGATATTATGATGTGTATAATTAAGCTTCTTCCTTGATCCCATATAGGAAGAAATCATCTTAGAAATATTGTTAAAAACATAAAAAATGCTGTGAAGAGCAATGTTTGGAGCTGAGAGAGGAATACAGAGGAAAGTAATTTAGTCTGAGAGTGTTGCTTATGCTGAGATCTGAAGGACTAAGTCAAAATAAATGGATAATTAAGGGAAGCAACACAGAAAACTCTTGAGGCGAGAAGTAGGAAAACATTGTTCTGTGCAACTAGCCTGCTGTAGTTGGAGCAAAGAAAAAAAAGACTTTGTAGGGCTTATTAAGCTTCTTCCTTATTTAAGATATTCATTTAAATCATTTGTCCATACTATTTTGAATAGATATTTGTGCTCCTTGTTCACTGAAACACTATTCATGATAGAAAGATCAGGATACAACCTGTATCCAATTAGGATACAAGTTGAGAGATTAAATAAACTGGTGTATATACACAATGGATTACCACTTGGCTGTAAGGAAAAATAAAATCTGATAGGGCTGGAGCCATAGCACAGCGGTAGGGCGTTTGCCTTGCACGCAGCCAACATGGCCGACCCAAGTTTGATTCCTCCGCAGCTCTCCGAGAGCCCGGCAAGCTACCGAGAGTATCTCGCCCGCACGGCAGAGCCTGGCAAGCTCCCCGTGACGTATTCGATATGCCAAACACAGTAGCAACAAAGTCTCCAATGGAGACGTTACTGGGCCTGCTCGAGCAAATCGATGAACAACGGAAGGACAGTGACAGTGACAGTTTTCTCCCATGGATAGAATGGTGGGAATGGTGGGTACGGTGCAGACTCTGTCTTGACTCTTTGCTTTGTGCTCTAGGAAAACTCCTGGCTCAGCTCAGGGAGACCACTTGAGGAGCTAGGAATCCAACTGGGGTTATCTGTATGTAAGGCATGCTCCTTCCTTGCTGTTTATCTCTCAGGCCCCTTGTGCCTTATTTTTACTTTAAGAATATTATTTTGAACATCGCTCAAGAACCCTTGTGAATGAAATATTCAGTATAGTTAAAAACAATTAATATCAAAAGAAAGTAAGAATCATAAGCTTACCTGTTGTAGAAATCATCTCTGTAGTAATCATAGTCAAAGACGTAACCGCTAGGAGGGAAACAAAAACATTAATTCACATTTGTTTCAGTCACATTCATTTGGGCTTTAATTTATAATATTACATCAATAAGGTTGCTACTTTTAAAATATTTATGTTTTGATGTAATTATGTACCCCAAGGGCTTTATAAGATTATAGTCAATTGAATATAATGTCATATCAATCTATCATATATCTGACAAAGTGGTACAGAATTGAAGAAGAGATATGGCAGCGATAAAATTCTTTCAATACTTATAAGGTAATATGAATGAAGGTCATTTTCTTCAGATAAAATACAATCTAGTTAATCCTTCATACTAATATATGTACAATGAAACTAGACAATGAACAGAAGGCATACAATAATATAAATGAAAAGGTTTAATGACCCAATTTATTATAAGATTGCCTAACAGTAATGTGATTTCTTTAGAATTTAAACATTGTTTTTATACTAAAACTTGTGATTAAATGATTAAATGCATAATAGAGAATAAAAAAGGAGCACATTACTTATCAACAGTAATAGTATTTGGAGTTATTTAAGCACAAATTAATACATGCATTCAGTGATACTTTATGACTAAGTTCCTTACAGGAATATATAATAAAAACATATTCCCTTGATACCATTAGAGTTTAGAAGGCTCTTTGTATACAATATTTTCTTCTAATTTTGGTCTTTAAAACAACTCTGTTGAATACAGTAGCTGGAAGATAATGAGGTACAAAGGATCTAAATAATTTGCCCACTCAGAGTGAAATTGCTCTACATATGGTTATAATATGCTTAATTCATTGGACAGAGGGCCTCACACATGCAAATCAAGCAACCTACCACTGAGTATCTCATTTAAGTGTGCATTTTACTACTGTGCTACATCCTGCACCCCTATGTTTAACTTTTTGAGGAGCCACTGAACAACAGGACAGTGTTTTTTCTATTTCCAAATGTTTAACAGCCTTTTATTTTGGTTATTGTTGTGTTGAAAAATTGGCAGGACAGAGTAATCTATGCCGAGATTTAACGATAATTATATTTACATCTTTTCACACTCAATACGTAAGGGAGCAATTAGAGCATACTGAGTCTATTAGGTTTAGTTGTGCCTCCAACACAGTCTGATGGAGCATATTATGTTTGAATTCAAGATATGAAATGCAAAGTGGGACCACATGAGTGTCTTGGCTGGCAGATTGCATTGTGTAGCTCATGCAATGCTGTTGTATTCACCTATGGAGCGAAGGAAGGCAGTGGGATAACTGTCTATTGAGAGCAAAGTAGCCACTGCTACTTCACTGTTACAGGTGGGTTTGTGTTTACATCTTAGTGTGGTTTGTGTTTTAGTTTGTCCTGATAGCACTTACGATTGGATGTTAAGGAATTTTAAAGGCAACCTACTGTCTATCACCAAACCCTAAAGACATGTATGTCAGGAAAGATACCATATCCGTAGATTTAATAGCAAAGCAGATAACTTCTTCTTAGCACATGAGTCTCAGACTAGTGCGAGTCAAGATGACCTCAGTATTTTCCCAGAGCTTTACTATAGGAATTTACCAGTGTAAACTTTTGAGCTCTCTTTTCTTAGAACATTTACTTGAGAAAAATCACAGTTGCTTCTTTGTGCCTCTGCTTCTTTGACAGGCATGTATTCGCCTAGCCTTTCACCAGCTTCTCAGCCCAAGAATGGAAGCTTATTTTTTTTTAAGTTTCTGAGAGTGATTTTTGAAATATAAACATCAAGAAACCCAGTGCCATTATCTCTCAGTGCCCGCGGGAAGATAAGAGTCTAGCTTTGATAAGTGCCAATTAGTTCTCTTCACCTCTTAAAAACTCTCCTGTTCTTTCCTGTAGAGGACTGGAGTTCAGCCCCTCTCAATAGTGTGAACTGTCTTTCTTACTCACCTAACGTATCTGATAAAAACTTATTTTTAAAGTGGTGGAGATCAAAATTAAACTAATAAAAAGTACACCAGAAGAAAATGAAAGAAAAAAAAACTGAGGGGAGAACCACTTAGAGTGATAAACCAGAGGCTTGAAGGATCAGAAAAGTCCTCGGAGAAGTCAGGGGAGAAAAGGAACTGATAGAGGAACAGAAAACACAAAGGCACAAGTCAGGGAAAATCTTGGCAGATCCAATCAACCAAGAGTCAAGGACTACTGTAAGATGGATGAGAGATAACACGCTCTGAGGTAACACTGCCACAGAGAAGCTGGAGAGAGTAGATCAATCAGTCCACATTATTTGGAGGAAGTTTTGACCCAACTTGTCACTTTTTTTTTTTAATTTAAGAAAGTGGGAAGATCGTTTTCTTCTTTGTGGGCTTGGGGAGAAGTTTTATAGGAAAAATTCAAGGTTAGGAGATTAATTTTGAACAAAATAATGTTTAGGTTGTCTGTGATGTAGAGAAAATGGGACAGTTTAGTCTTAGGAAATAAGGGCATATTAAGGAAATCCGAATAGTACGTGTGTGCCTGGTGGTAATAAAGAAGCTATCAAATAAAAGGGTGGGGGGTCTTTAGAGTGATATAGAAAGAGAGAACAGGAGCTGGTCTTGTGGACTCTAGGATTGAAAACTCAAGGAGAAGGAGGAGGAGACAGCAGTGTAGTTTGGTCAGATGAGACTTGGTCAGATAGAATTTAAACAAAATAATTCTGAGTGTTGGCCTCTGATTGCTGCTTACTTCCTATGGCATATTGGATGTATTGGATTTTTAGAACAGCCACAACAAAATACCACAGGTTGGGTGCTTTGTACAAGAAATTTATTTTCTCACAATCCTGGATGTCAGTCATTCAAGTTCAGGGTTGCTCTGTTTTCTGAGGGCACTTTGTTTTTCTCTTGCATCTGTCTGCCTTCTTGCTGTGTGTAGCTTCTCAGACGCTCATCCTTCTGCCTAGTGTCTATGTCATAAACTCCCAATAAAAAACATAACTTACATTGGCGGAGTCTCCTGTCCCCACGCCTGGCTGTCCTCACCAGGACCCTTGGAGGGGGCCAGTTTGAATTTCCCTCCCCACCCTAAGCAGAACCCCGGCAGCCGAAGACCTCCAGAACCAGCCACAGCCATGTTGAGACCACTTTCCATGTTCAAACCTCATGCATGAAGGAACCAGCAGAGGAACCCAGGTATGCGGGTCCCGGGGCTGAGATCTTTAAGTCTGCTTAGCTCGGGACTGGGCCTCCTCCACCCAGATCCCCCATCTTCCAGTAGGTAGGCATCATACCCACCAATGCCCCTGTTGCCGTGTAATCCCATCAACGGCCAAGACCCAGAGACTATAAAACCCAGCTCCTGAAAGTAGGACATCTCCTAGCTCCTGTGAATGTGGCCACGTGACATTTTACTATCTAGTTTTTACTCTGGAGAAACCGGCTGGCTACCAGAAGTACCCTGCCTGCACGGCAGAGTCTGGCAAACTCCCCGTGGCGTACTCAATATGCCAAAAACCAGTAACAATGATGGGTCTCATTCTCCTGACCCTGAAAGAGCCTCAAATATGGCACTTTCTAAAACCTCAGGGCTAGGATGAAGGAGACGTTACAGGTGCCTGCTCAAGGAAATTGATGAACAAGAGGATAACCATGATTCTGTGATACTTACATTGACCCCATACTACTGAGACTATTTTAACTTAATTGCCACCCTGAATTCTAAGAATTCCTTAGGTTTCTGCTTCTCATTTTCATTCTTCCAGAAATGTCAACAAACCAGATAGTTATTATTAATATCACTTGTATTAATAATAATAAAATAATGTTGAGTTATGATTTCTCTAATAGATATATTCAAAAGTTTGCTAAGTATCAGTTGTGTTGTGAGACATTTAAACCAAAGAGCTATTTTTAATGGGAAAAATCCCTAAAAGTTATCGAATATTGGTTAATGACATGAAGTAGATTTCAGGTGTCTGAAATTGTAAATCAACATCTGAACAATGCTCATTGTACTTGCCGCTAAAAATCTATTTCTGCCCTGAAATTCACCATACAATTGATCCTTCTGACACAGCTTACTCACCTTCCTTCCTCATCCTTTTCTAGAAATGCCAAATTTTCTTTTATAGCTTAAAAAAATTACTGTAAAAATTGAACTCACTCATTTGTTTTATTTTGCTATGTAGTACATCTGAGTGAAGTAATGTGTTATTGAACTAGAAATTTGAGACAATGAGTACACTCAATACTTTCGATTGTAACAGAATAAAGAGAGATAAAATGTGACTAAATTGTTTTTATGAGCTTTTTTTCTCCTGGTATGAACTCTCTAGAGCTTAATTACAAGAAACTATGATGATATGGAGTAATTAATAAATGCCTTAGTAATGTGGATGGCAGTAATGATACCACTCGAGTGTTTTATACTTTTAGGAGATACTCAATAAATTAATAGCTGTCTGGAAAGTTCATGAGAAATAAAAGTTTACTTGTTTATCTCAGTTGATGTTTAAATGATCTTGTACAGCTGCTTATCTTCTGTCTAATATCGTCTGCTAAAGCATACTTATAAGAACCACTGAAAGCTAAGTATCCTGAATTGGTGGATGTTCAAGTCTCACTGTCTGCCACCATAAATTCAAGTTTACTTGTCAGCATTAAAGATGAAATAAAATGCACAAACACAACAGTCTTGGTAATCACAAGCTTGCTTTGGTATTAATGACTTGAGGTTTTGGTAGACAACCATGGCTGTACTTAGCTCTGGTCATGTGTGTAAATAAATGCAAGCTGAATTTGGAAGAAATGGAGGGAGATACAGGAGATGACCAGAGGGCCACACTCTCCTCGGTGTTCTTCCGACTTTTCTGAATTCTATTTTGTTGACTTTTCTGTCTCTCCCTGATTCTCTTTTGTAATAATTGCTCCATTTTTTATGTCAACATTTATTAGATATTAGCTTTCCCAAAATGGTATTTAAAGGAATGGTCTATACATAAAGTTTTGTTTATTTCAGAACCTTTTAAATCAGGAAAAACAACGTTCAACTTAAAAAAAATTCC